AGACGGAAGGTGGAAATCATAATTACACATTCCACCTTTCTTAAAAAAAACAAGTCCAAATTACTGAGAAAGCAATTCTCCAACTTCGTGCTTTTTCCCCAAAGGCTGAAAAAAGAAAGTCAAGCTGCCGAAGTGGAAGGGGAAGAGGGGACCTGATGGGTCGCAGGTCATCAGGAAGCCACGTCTCCAACCAAACTCAAATCTAAAAAGGATCTAATAACTGAGGAAGGTTCTGGAAGGACACTGCCAACTGCTTCACAATGCTGCTTCGTTCTGCACTGTTCGAAACTTTTAACAGTAACATACAGGTATGTTATTTTATAAACTATGTAACAATTTAATTAGTTTATTTTAAAACACAAACATGCAGGCTGGCCTGAGGAGTGGGGGTGAGGGGGCCCTTCGCAGGCAGCCCCAAGGGCCTGGGTTGGACGGCATGGGCTCAGCGAGGTCCGCTGGACTCGGGTTTTCCATAATGGCCCCCGGCCTCCCGAGTTCTTCAGAGAAAGGGGCCTCTTCAGCCAGCGGAGAGCAGGAGCTGGGTGGGCAGTGGGGCTGGGCAAAGCCGCGGGGCCTGCAGAGGCCTGCGGAAGGTGTCCGGGGGTCATGGAAGCCAAGACTCAGCCCCAGAAAAAGAGATGCAGGTCGGGAGGAGTAAGAGACAGGCCAGCCAGCGGGAACCAGTGGCAGGAGTGTTAGGGATGGTGCCAGAGGAACACCTCCTCCCGACAGCAGCTGGTCACACTAAGCTGCTGAACAGGGGCTCGGGGTGTCTGGCTCCAAGGCTTTAAAGCTCCGTGTTCTCCGGCACGCACAATCCAGATCGGGGCCTCTGGGGCTGGCACCTGCAAACACCCTTCCCGCCCGGCCCCACCTATTGAGAGAGAGGTGAAGGGGCGGGCAGGCGCACAAGAAGCAGACTTCTGGGGTCACCTGCTTAGGGCCTATTTGGAGCCAAGAATGCAGCATGGAGCTCAGAACCCGGTCACTCTCACCAGTGCGCCCACATCCTGCCGGATCGGTGGCAAGAGTTTGGGAGTCCCGGGCAGGGAGCAGAGAGCAACACATTTCTAAAAACTCAAGGGGGTTTTTTGGTTTGTTTGTTTGGTTTTGCTGTCTGGTGACAGGGATCAGCAGAAGCAGACTGGGGTGATGGCGAAATCCCTCTGAAATGAAAACCCTTCATCTCGCCAGTGGGTCAGTCCAAAACTTTTACTGCCAGAGGAAGAACGCAGTAATCAAGAGGCGCAGGGAAAGTCAGGCGGTTAAAAGCACCAGTTTGCAAACATGCCTTCAGGGTGATGGTCAGAGCAAACACTTGACCCCAGGGGCCTGCCTCAACATCTCTGTCTGTTTCAAGCAAGGCCTGTGAGCTGGAAGCCCTGTGAGCCCCTCACTCATGGAGGGAGAACCTCGCCGCCCGAAGAGGGCAGCCTTGCTGCGGCGGGCGGGACCAGAGCCGGGTGAGCAGACGCCCAGCGCCCCTCCTTTGTTGCTGAGGGGCCAGCACCTCCAGATTCTGGGCACAGGAGGGGCTCGGGGAGCTGATGGGGGCAGGGCAGCAGGTGGGGCTGGTGTCCTCGCGTTGAAGCTGCACTGAGATCATGTGTTCACGTGGGGGAATCTTTAAAGGAGTTGGTGAGACTGTGAGAAGGTTAAGCACCCCCAGAGCGTGAAAGGCTCTCGTTTCCAATACAACAGGCTTTGAGCAATCGTCACTCGATTGATGGCCAAGGTGGTAAGAACCTAAGCACCGAGAAGACCCCCTCACGGCTTCAAAGTTCAAAGGCAGCCCGCCTCCGTCTCTGCGGCGGGTGCGTCATCCCAGCAAGGGTGAATCTGGGCCTGGACCCTGGTCTTCTTGCTTTGCAGATATCCAGGATCAAAACAAACACACAGATGACACGCTGCCACACCTGTCATACGCAGAACAGCCCCACGTGGGCCACGTGGCCGTGTGAGCCGAGCTCCGACCACGCTCTCAGCCTCCAGGATCCGTGACCACGAACACACAAGCAAGTTTCCACTTGCTGTTCCCCAAAATCAACCACGACTCGATGATGGTCATGTTCAGAGGCTACATTTGCATGACGTGATGTAATACGCTGCTGTGGGGGTGGGGGAGGGGGCAATCAGAGAAACAGGCACCGTCCTTGGCCTTCAGGGTAGCTGAAAGGGGGCACAGTCTGAGGCTGGTGACCAGGAGGCAGACCGCATCACGTCCACACAGTAGACAGAGCCCACCGAGCTTTCAAACATGTGCCCCGAGGCACAGCCCCAGAGCTGACCAGGGAGCAGTGCCTTCTCACAGGGAACTCCAGGCTCAACGACAGGGGCAATTTATTCATTTCATGAGAGTCAGTGATTTTCCAAAGTGGACGTGGAGAGATTGGCTGAAGCCTTAAACTTCTCACCATCACAACCATCTCTCAGTCCCATTGGCCTTTCACACCCATCATCTCTATGACCATCCTGGTAATGTTCTTCCCATTGTAGAGGCGGGAACACCGAAGCTCAGAGACGCTAGGGACTGACCGTGGTCAAAAGGAGAGCCAAAATTCAAACCGCAGGCTGACAGCCACACCCAGGCGCTTTCGAGTGCAGCCTGAGGAAAAGCCCTGGGAACGTGGTATCCCTGGTGGTCTTTCCCAAGTATCAACGAGAGACCCACCCTGCTTGTTAGCCAAGGTCAGCCATTGGCTCAAGCAAGAGCTGTGGTTCACCTGAGCACTCAGCCATCCATCAGCTGGTGGCCTGTGGATGCTGGGGGTGGTGCAGCTGGCTGGGCACTAGAGGGCACTGGGGAGCACTCTCTGCTCCGTGATTGGCTGTGGAGGCCTCTGGGACCACTTCCCAAGACAGAACAAACAGGAAGTGGCCACTAGGCCACTCTGTCCAGCAGCTTCCCCAGGGGTCGCCCCCTACTGTGTCCTTATCCACCACCTCTTATGCCCAGGAGCCAGCCCTCCTCCATGCGTGGCCCTCCTCCTAGGCATGAGACCACCGGCTCCATTTTGGTGCCAACTTCCTGCCAAGTCCCAAGAACACACCTTAAACTCTCTAGTGCAGTTAAACCCCAGAGCCACTGCAGGCAAAAATACACCCTGGGCAACGTCCCTCCGTACCTCTCCTCAAACTCAGTGTGTCTCTGTCTCTCTGCCACCTGTGCTGCGAGGTCAGTCAGAGGCATTCTGGGACATGCTCACAGCCCTTTTTGCAGAGCTGAGGTCAGTTCTGAAGAACAGGGCTGATCTGCTCCTGGAAGGACATGCTGGTGTCAGAGCAAAACGTTCTGCTGGCTGTTAAATCGCGTTGGGTTGACAAATTCACAAGGAGCTCGGTCTGGCGCCCAGTCAAGGAATCAGGGCACAAAACATCTCCCCTTATTAGCAATCCTGGACACTTACATGGCGTGGGGGTTTTGGTGATGGGCGGGCAGGCGGATATTCTTAGCCGGACAGCAAGCTAAGGGAAAAGGACAGTCACTCTCCAACATCTGTAAGTACTTGCAGGTTTGTTTCCTCTCAGTTATTTATTCATGACTTTTCCAAAGAGGGGCTGCCTGCTTTTCCATCACCCAAGGCTCAGCACCGACACTGCAGACGTCTTTGAAGAGATGCAGATTTTCACACTAAAAATGTTTCAGCTCTAGGAATACATTTTAAACCTATATTCTCATCCCTTCCGTTCACCACACCCTGGTTTTTCCTGGCAAAGCCTTCAGAGTTTAAAATCTAAGGAAGACTTTTAATTCGGAATAAGGCAATGTCGCCAGCATATTTCTGTCCTCTCACACTTCCCTCGCAGTAAAGTGGGTTTATGACCACAAACATTTTGTATTAATAAATGTCTCAGCACACCCACGCTTGAAAATCAGATTTAAACCTCATTCCTAACTAGAATTCTTTCCACAGTCCACAACTTCCTCAGAAAACCTCTGCAAGCCCAGCCCCTCCCCCCGCAGCCTCGCGGCCCCTACAGGATGTGGCTTTCGCTGTATGTCTCATTGTATACATCTCCCTCCCTTTGCCTTTGACCCTCCTGGCAAAAGCTGAGTTTGAAAGACCAAAGAGCCGCAGATTCTAATGGCAGCGAACAGGTTTTAGTTAAACACATTTCCAAGAAAAAGACCAACTTTCTGAGCAGCACAGAAGGCCTGAGTCTCCCAAGTTTGTGACTTAGTATGGTCACCCTTGAGTTTTTTCTTGTGTCGTTTCAGTGTTTTTCCTTCACCATGACCCTCTAGAAGTCCCAGCACAGCATGTGGGTCAGAGATCCAGGCATGCCCTTATATGTACCAAAGGCTCAAGAGAGCTCATTTCAACGCATCCCTTAGATTTGGGTTAGAAAAAGGGGGCCGCCATGCCCACCCCTAAAACAAAGCTGGACGTCAGGCTCACTCGGAAACATCCCAGAAAACATCTTGGGTTTCACCTCCTGATCTTGGAAGGCACCTCTTCCCTCTTGTCATCTTGCTTGACAATTCCACTCTCCTCACACAGCTCATCACATATATTAATATTAATATATATATCATTTGCTGACTGCATCCCCTGGCAGGCCTGGGGTGGGTACTATTACTCCCAGTTCAGGGGGTGGGAGTTGGGGTAGGGAGGGGGGAACTGAGGCTCTAAGAGGTTAGGTCACTCGCAGCCAGGCAGCTCAGTGGCAGAGCGGATTGGAACCCAGACTTTTCTGGCTTAAAATCCCTTGCTGTTTCCACTTTGGTCTGCAGCTCCGGGAGAATTCTCGGGACCCATGCTGCCCGGCGGGGCAGGTCTTGAATGACCTCCTCCTCTCGACGATTCTCCACAAACTCCCCCAGGGATCCCCCCCCCCACAGACCTCCGGCTCCGGCCCCCCCAACCCACCGCGTTCCTTCGGCTTCGCTCCAGCCCCTGCCCGCGCGCCCGGCAGGGGCGGCTCCTCGGGGCAGGTGTCCGCCGGGCCGGGGGCGCCTAGGGCCGTGGAAGGGGGGAACTCGCCCGGCGAGCACCTACCTCGTCCCCGAAGCGCACCACCTTCTGGCCGGTGGGCCCGCGCAGGCCGGGGAAGCGCGCGAGCTCCTCGGGGTCCCCGGGGTCGCGGGGCGCCGGGACGCTCGGCCCCACCAGGCACCGGTCGATGATCTCGTCCTGCTGCGCGGGCGGCAGCCGCGCCCACTCGGGCCCGTACTTCTCCCGGATCCTCTCCTTGTCCTGCATGATCTTCCTGGCCATGGGGCTCAGCGACGAGAAGTAGGTGAAGCGCTTCCGCTCCCTGTCATCCAGAGGCCGGTTCCCGCTCATGACGGCCGAGCGCGAGGCCGCGATCGCCGCCGCCATGGACGCCATGCCCGGCCT